ACTACATTTAGTCCTAATTAATTTTATTGAAACACATTACTAGCAAACAAGGAAAATTTCACAAAAACTGCGACAGGGGCATCAACAACAACAAGAACCACAACAACAGCGATGATGATAACACAACAACAGTAACATCGACAACGCTTATTGATTAACTACTGAAAAACAAGTACTTAATAACTATCCAGGAATTGCTGGAGAAGTTTATGTCTTAGTTTTAACTTGAAGTTTGAAATAGATTTGCACCGACTTAAGTCAGGGCCTATGTTGTTCCAAAGAGTGACAGTTCGATAAGGGAATGTTCTTTGTCCAGCAGCTCTTTTGTACAATGGAACATCCAGACTTCGTACATTTCGTGTCTCACGAGAGCTCACTTCACCTCTGGTTATGAACTGCGACGACAAGTATAGTTGGGGGCACAATTGTTCATGCATTTGAAGGCCAGTAGAGCACCACGATAGTAGAGATGCAATTTCACGGGAAGCCACTGTATTTCTTTTAGAATCGGGGTGATGTGATCGAACTTTCTTGTACTCGTCACTACTCGTGCTGCGAAATTCTGGACCCCTTGAAGGCGGGATAGGTTACTGCTGGAAGTGTTTGACCAAAGTGAAGAACAACAGTAGAGCTTGCTGAAAACCAAAGCATTGATTACAGTTACTAACATATTTTTATTGAAGGCGTGTTTAGCTCATTTATCTGACAGAGGCTTGATTTGCAGGACGAGACGGTGGAAAGGATATGGTTGTCGAAAGAGAGGATTGGGTCAAACGTAACTCCCAGATCTTTGACTGTTGCAGCAGGTGTTAGTTCTTTACCGAGTAGCGAGAGTCTAAATTCAGGTAGCCATGCGAGTATTTGACGACTTCCGTAGACCATCAATTTGGTCTTGCCTGGGTTGAGTAAGAGCAGGTTGTCGAAACACCAATTTCGAATTCTAATTAAGTCTTCATTCAGTTCAACCAGAGCAGCATTAGAGTCATTGATATGGAAGGACAGAAGGAGTTTAGCACCGTCAACATACGATTCAGAGGAACACGTTTTAGTGGCCGACGGTAGATCATTGACATAAATACTGAACAGCAACGGACCGAGAATACTTCCTTGTGGGACACCACTAACCACTGGCAATTTCTCAGATAGAGTAGAATTTATGCGTACTGCTTGATATCTTTCGCTCAGATAACTTCTAAACCAAGTCAGGCATGAAGATGAAACGCCAACATCCTCCAATTTAGCAAGAAGTATATTGTGATTAATGCTGTCAAAAGCTTTACTCATGTCCAAAAGAATAACTGCTGTGACTTTCTTCTGGTCGATTGCTTTGAGAATGGAGTTGGTGGAATGGATGAGGGAGGTTTCTGTTAGGTGCCAGGTTATGTTGCCACTCTGATGCACAGAGAGTGAGAGAGGCGACGATTGATGGTTAGGTAGGAGGTTAGTTGATTGAGTGCTACTCTCTCGCATACCTTATTAAGAACGGGTAGGAGGGAAATTGGTCTGTTGTTATTGGCTTGCTCATGATCACCTTCTTTCAGAATGGGGATTACTTCAGCAATTTTCCAAGCACTTGGAAAAATATTGTTGACTAACGATTTGTTTATGATGGAGGTAATCCATGGTGCAATAACGGGAAGACAGTCCTTGATAACGCGAATAGGTACTTTATCTATTCCTGGTGCCTTGTTATCAGGCATTGACTTCACAATATATTCTACTAAGGAACATTCCACGGGTTCAAAGGTAAACTGATCCGACTCGGTGTAACTGGCTGGGAGAAATGGTAATTGGGAGGGAGTGTAATTATTTTCTTTAGCAAGTGATTTAATTTTCATGACAGTGTTTGAACCGAGAGCTGTAAAAAATTCATTAAAGTTATTTGCGACAGATTTATCATCATTACTGAATGACTTCTTTCCAGTAGTTTTCTTGGGAATACATGTTCGAATCACTTTCCACATATTGCCTGTGTCCTTTGGGTACCTTTGGGGCTGTCAATTTCCCGTTTGTTATACAAGATGACTGAAAAACGGCAAACTTCACAAGGCTATATTATCCGCATTTTACAACATTTCCCAACGAAACTTTGGAATATTACTAATTTTGTAATGCTCTTTCAAGCTGTGATGAAATTTGTGTCTAGATTTGTCTAGATCAAATTTTAGTCTATAATGCAAATGGTCCATTGCAAGTAACTGAAATTCCAATAAACCTTAATGGAACGTCTGCATGATGGGGTAAAGTTGTACTGAAATTTGCCTATTTTTGGACAGTTTGAAAAATTGGATTTGGGTTACTGGGAATAATAGATACAAAAATAGGATGGAAAAAACCTGTATGCCATTATAAAGATGGTAATTGTAGCAATCATTATAGATTTGGGAATTTGTCTAAAAAGTCTACAAAAATTGCATCAAACCAACATACTGTTCGACTCGATAAGGTAAATTCTCTAATATTTTAAGTCAGTGATTTCCTTGCACAGTTTCCCTAGCCCGTTTTGGTATGCAAGTTCTGTTAGTGTATTGCGAATTTGCGTGCGTATTATAAGTCATTTAATTGAATTGCAGAAAATAACAGGTTTGTTACTTCGAACCTGTTACTCTTGGCAAAGCTACAAGCAATTCTTTGTTTTGTAATCACGTTCCTTTTCATCGAAATGACGGGCAATCAAACAACTGGTGGACGAGTTTTCTCCTATCAGAATCGTAGCAGTACGGTGATTCATCTTTTCTGTCTTAAACGTCTCCAAATTCGATCAACACATTTGAAAATAGCCGTTTTTTTGTTATACCTGCCCGTCAACTGAAATTCCAGAATTACATCATTGCAAACAAAGAATTGTCCTGCAGCCGAAATGCAGAATTGTTTTTATTACAAAAGTCGTCACATAGATGAGCCACCTGCTCGGGGATTTCTTTTCCGTTTCACAAATGGAAGAAGGATTTGGTGTAAAAATGGCCAGAATTTAGGAAGAACATATTTGGACTGAGAAATGGGGTATAGACATCATCCCATTTTCAGGACCCTCTTCATGGATAATTCTATTATTTAGAAATATTTCCACCAAAAGGTCGGCGGAATAAGACCACTCGACGTACAGTGCTACTTCGGAGGAAACCAAAACAAACTATAGGCCTTTTTTTGAATGTCGAAAAACTCTCAGTTCTAAACTTTTCACTTGAGAGATCCAGCAATGATCATATCCGTCTTACTAAAGGAGCTCGAGTGAGTCGGAGTGACAAATTAAATAGTATGTGGAGAGCCAATTAGTTTAAACCTAAAACCTTCTTCTTATACATGATGCAACTGAGGTGACATTTAATTAGACTACTGCATAGAGTAAATATTGCCAAAATGGACCATTGGGAAACAGACAGTGGAATTCAAAACCAGTGGCGGAAATTCATTTTTTCCGGTGGGGCGGCAAAGCCTCCTAAATTTCCGACAAAACTTTCAAATTTCCGACAAACGCCCCCATTTGCACTCGAAAAGGCTGTTTTAGCCCTCTTTTAGGTCAAAATTCCCCAAAAATTCGTCATTT